TCTGAGGATAAAGAATGATATTGGATTCACGATAGTCAAGATATGAAAACAACTGAACTGTCTATCAATGGATGAGAAACTATGGTATATAGACACAATGGAATATTACTCAACCTTAAGAAAAACAGACAACAAAACAAAGAACAAGAAATTCTGCCATTTGTGTCAATATGGATGAAGCTAGAGGACACTGTGTTAACTGGAATGAGCCCCACACAGACAGATACAAACCACATGATCTCGCTCATGTGGAATCTCTGCAAAGCTGAACCCACTAAGGAGGAGGTAGAATAATGAGTACCAGAGGCTGGGGTGGGGTGGAGTGGGAAAGGGGAGAAAGGGCCAGTTTGTACAAAGCTACAGTTAGACAGGAGGACTAAGTTCTAGTGTTCTATTGTCCAGCATGAGGACCACAGTTATAACAGTTTCTATATTTCAAAATAGCTAAAAGACATAGCTGTTTTCACCATGAAGAAATGATAAATTTTTGAGGTAATGGATAGGCTAACAGGCCTGATTAAATCATTCCATAATGGATCCGTGCACCGAAACATCTTGTACCCTATAAATGTATGCAATTACTATTTTTGTCAATTAAAAATAAAACTCGAGAAAGGATGATATGGAAAAGAGGAGTCATGAACTTCACTTTGGTGATGGGATATTGGAGGAACCCAGAGGACCTGTATGTGAGCAGGGTGGGGGCAATTGAAAGGGTCCCCTGTTAGCAGACTGAACAAGTAATCATGACCAGAGCTGAGAAGTACTCATGATCAGCACCTGGGCCAGGTGCTGATTTAAGCACTTCATGTATATTTATGTATCTAATCCACAAAATAACGCACAGTATAACATAGGTGGCATTATCACATCCTTTTTAAAGCTATGTTAACTGAGGCACAGAGTTTAAGTAGTTTATCTAAGCTAATACTATTATTTTCCATTTACATCTACTTTTCTACCTGTAGGCAGTGCATTCTGATTTTTATACCAAGTTTAGTTTCTGATATGATGATCTATTTAATAAATGTTATTTCCTCAAAAATCTACATATCTTGAGAAAGTACTGTATTTAATGTAGCTTAGTCTATAATGTTACCAATATCTCAAAGTAAATTTGATCTTATACGTTCTTGTTTATCATTAACTTTATACTGTACTATGAGATTCAAAATATAATTCACTTTCCCATTTAAAATACATTAATGAAGACCTTAGATATGTTCATGAAATGGATTCCACAAGTAGATAGAAAGGTAAATGCATTTTAATTACCTCAAAAGTCTTAATTAACTCCTACTGCTAATAATGTGGCAGTTAAAATTTAAATATGCTGTAGAGGATGTATCTGCTGCCTTTCTTTTGCTGAATATCACTGAAATCTAAGGAAATGGAGAGATTTAGATCCGAATTCTCCAAGAGTTCTAATCTCCTTGAGAAAAGGGAGTAAAACTAAGGTTCTAGGCTGTAGGCAGCATGCCTCCCACATAGATACCTGCTTTCTGGCTGCCTGCTCCTTCCCCTTCATGGTCCTTGTCTCCCACTGAGCAGGGTGTGTGTGTGTGGGGTGTGTGTGTGTGTGTATGTAACAATCACTTTTGAAAGTACTTAGGGATATGCACTATTTCAAACACCATTGCTGGAGCCAATCTTCCATATTTTTTTTAAATTTTTCCTTTGGTTCTGAGCCCCAGGAGAGCAGCTGTGGGGATGGGTGCCAGTCCGTCCAGACCACATAAGGGCAAAAGAGAGAGGAGGGCAAGTACGAAGAGCATTTCAGAAGCTGTCTCCCACAGTGAGCGAAAGATGGGCAACCTCTTTAGAAGACGGGTCAGAGGTGGTGTCTATTTCCCCTTCTTGTGAATCGGAACTGTTCCTGTGATTTGCTTTCACAAGAAATTACACCAGCTGTGAAACCACGTTACTTCCCACGATGGGCTCTAAAAGATTTGTAACCTCCACCTGCACTGCCCAGCCAGCCCCAAGAACAAGACAAATGAATGCGCCCCCCTGGACTAAGGTGTCAAGAAATACGACAGGTGGAAAAGAAACTCCCAGATGACCTCAGCCGATACACAGACTCTTAGGTAATAAACGCTAGTTGCTGTTTAAACCACTAAGTACTGAGGTGGCTTGTTATGCAGCAAAACATAGTCACAAACTTTGCAAACCCTCCTAGATAGAGATCCAGGCTCAAAGCAACACTTACTCGCTTATCTGACAAGTCAGCATAGACCCAGAAACATCAAAATAGCTAGAAGGTATCGAGAAGAATGTTTTCCAATACAGTCACTAAGACCGTGGGCCCTGGAGCCAGATGGACTGTGCTTGTATCCTGCCTTTGCATTTTGCTAGCTACATACCTAGTAGAAGTAACTGAACTTTTCTGTGCTTCAGTTTCCCTTTGTATAAAATAGAGATAATACTTCTCACCTCCCTGATTGGTTACACAGATTAAATCTCAGTATCTACATAGGTACAGCACCTAGAACAGTGCCTGGCACATGGGAAGTGTTCACTAAATGTTCCCTCCTAATATTAGTTCTTCTGTGTTCTGTTCCACATCCAAGGGACCTGCTGCTCACTGCTGAGGGATGGCTCTGTACTTAGGTCCACACTTAGGGACATGGAAACAGAAGAAGAGGGCCACCCGCATACTTTCTGTTTGATTCTGCACCATGAGGAAGTGAATCTCAAACACCACGCTATAGAAATATGAAGGTAGTAAATGCTAACTTGGACTGGCCACACTCCAGGAAGGGAGAAAACTAAAAATCAGAGCAAATGCTTAGGTTGTGGGTCATCCAGAACAGAAATGCTGCTCAAGGAGCCAGTCCACATCTCAGAATACACTACTTCTGTGCATAAGAACCCATTCTTTGGAAATTTTGTAACTGATTTCTGTTCCTCAAGAGTGCCAAGTCTTATATATATATTGGAGAGTCATGGAAAGCAATTTCATGTCTACAATCATTTCAACTATTATCAAATTCATATGAAGTTTCTTTCTAGATATTATTTTCACAGTTTAGTGCAAAAGTCAGATCAGGTTACAGATCATAGCATTTATATATATCATAACAAAATTAATTCTAAGTGTGTCAGTAATATCAGGTTAGTATGTGGGCTTTGGTTCTTTTTTGAGTGGAGGATGAGGATCATATTATACAGTTTTTGGAAGTGCCTTTGTTTAGTTATTGAATTTTTGATGAGGCAAAAGATAGTAATAGCCAATTCTTTTTTCTATAGAATTATAATTAGCAAATAGTATTTTGGCCAGGTTTTTATTTTTATCTTAAAATGTTTATGAAAGACCTGCTTCTATTTACTTCAGAATTAATCATACCCAATGAATTAGTATGTAGTGTCCAGAAGTTGGAGCTTTCAAAATACTTAGCATTCTGTTTTAGCTTTTGAGCTCAATGTACTTTTCACTGGAACAACAAAACTCTCCCTTCTTTTATCTTCTCACATATTTCTATTCATAAAATTGCTACAGACACAGCTCCATTAACCACACGCTGACCTCTGGACACAGTTCTGTCTGTTTTTCAAGACAGCTATGAAGGATCCATAAACTGATACTTGAGTAGTTCAATCAATTAGAGGTTCTGGGAAAATGTGTCGTGTTTGTATCTGTCTTCACCATAATGACATCATTCATCCACATTAGCTATGCTTCCTCTTTCCAAATAATTCATAGGCCTCGGGTCAGCTGGAAGACATTCATATTTTCATTTCATGCTTGCTAATTATGCCTTAAATGGCAATTATCAAAGATGCTAATTAATTGCAAACCATATGAAGGGTGCATAAATTTAAAACTATGAAATTTAAATGATTAGCATAGTAATACAGCAGCTTCCAGGTTCTTCCTGCAAGCACTATGATTTTATATATGTTCTATTGCTCAATGCAAATCAGATTTGGTAATTTGGACAGAAACAGAGAACACTAGATTTTATTACTATTTTGTCTCTCGGTGTTTTAATTCCCTCTTCTTTTTCCTTCCTTACATCCTTTGTCTCTGTTTTGAACCTTTTGTTTCATGTCTGCTTAGTTTTTGCCCCCATCTCACTAACAGATCTCACTGATTATACATAATTCTACTTTTTAAAAAGATGTCATACTTTATACTTTATATTCCACTAGCCTATTCCAAGATCTTGAATCAGTTCCAACAAGAGAAATTAAAAGGGAAAAAAGTCAATTTTGCAGGACATTTGTGAGTTTATGGTTTGGTGTTATTATGTGACTTTACACAAAAGTTTAACAATGCATACAATTTTAATACTATTATTGAAAGTAACAGTTGGGGATTATTTTACATCCACTGTATGGTTGACATAGCAAAGAAGTGGTCAAAATTTAACTGTGAAAAAATTCGGTGTGAAAAAGAAAGCTAAGCCAGGCGTGGTGGCACATACTATAATCCCAGCACTCAGGAGGCTGAGGCAGGAACATCACCTTGAGTTTGAGGCCAACCTGGGCTACCTAGTGAGTTCAAGGCCAGTCTGAACTATAAAGTAAAACCTTGTCTCAAAAAAAAACCAAGGCTGGTTGAATTAAGAAACATTAGATTAGAACTAATAGGTTCAACTAAGTTTCTATGCCAGTAAATTTTTCAATTTACTTGCATCTGTTTTCTATAAATGGAGCTCACTAGAGCTCAAAACATTACCAAAACAAATTGCATAGCATTCCTAATTAACAAAATGGATTTAAACGTAGTAGATGGCATTTTACCAACTTGCCCCTTTAAACACAAAACTGGGTTATAGTTTGACCAGTAAATAAGTTATTATGGAAAACATCTGATTAAAACTTGAGTTTCTCAGATAAAACATCATGGCTTTCTCAAAGCACATCGCTACAAATCCTAAATCTTGGTTTTATTACAATTAGCCTCAAATGTTTTTTTAAACAGCGTAAGTAAATGTCCTGAGTAATAACTAAACTCAAATACATGCATGCTAACAAAAACAAAGGCCAGTCCTTACCTGGCAGGGCTGCTTCATTTTAATGGCTATGACATGGTATCTATAGCAGCAGAGCTCACAGGTCCAGGAGCCTCGCTCGCTGATCCACTTTAGCAAGCACAGCTGATGTGTGTACCGAACGGACCCGTCACATCGGCAGGGGTTTAACAGCTCACCCTGCAAGGAAAACATCTCTGTGTGAATATCTGTGCCTCTCTTTGGAAATGCAATGCCTGGTTTCTCTTCTTTCAAAGCCATTTATTCAGAAGGATACGACCCTCATGCTCTATCCCAGAAAATCAAATTAAAATTTTATACCTCTGATGGGGATCAAACTAAAGTCTTTAAATTATTTCAAAGATATTGCTTAGAGTTATGACATAAATGTTCTCTGAGCATACAAAATGTCTGCAAGATATAGCTCCCAGGACCCTTGGGGGAAAGCTGTACTATTAAATCTCTGTAATAACTTTTAAGTGATGGTCATATGCATTTCCTCCTCAGTTATTCTTAATCATTGGTAAAGAAAAAGTGCACGGCATTCCAGAAAGCAGCCTGCAGCAGCATTATGCTTGTATTTTTTTCTAAATGTTGCATCATAAATATGGACTTAAGGAAGTATATTCTTAAAAGCCTGCATATTCTTATGCAATTACCCTACTTTTAAAAATATTAAACCTAATGTTTTTTCAGACCACACATTCTGTAAGAGAGATAATACTATTCTTTCCTCTGCATGATTACTGTCGTATTAGTTTACATACCCCTCTAGTGATGTTTATACTTTCAGAATTCTGCTTTGAATACAACATAAAGTGCATGGTTGGCTAAATAGCTTTTCTTTCGAAGTACTTTCCTGTTTGTTTTATAAGAAGGGTAGCACGAGTCGCACATCTGCGAGATTTGATGGCCAAATTTTACAATAACGAAAGACCCTGCTCCTTTTGACTGTGACGTGACTCACCTCCAGGTTTTATTCTCAGACTATCCTTTTCAGGGTGCATTAACAGAAAATGGACTTCACCTTATATCCTACGTTTGTTTCTAAGTGCACACAAGATCCACGGAGTGATTCACAAGAGATACAGTCTTAGAGTTATCATCCACGCACCTGAAGAACGTGTAAATTGCAAAGCCAGGTCGGGAGAGAAAAGTACAGACCAAATCAGTCCTGTACTCGCCAGTGGGACTTCCTTGGCTTCACGGTAAGGGAAGGGAAACACTGGACCCGCAACCCGCCCCGGAGGAGCGCGGGCGCTGTCCGTGGTGCTGAACCCGCCGCCCGCGCCCGGGGCTCCGCGGGGCCTCACCTGCTCCGCGCCCTGGAAGCAGATCTTGCAGATGGGCTGATGGTGCTGGTGTCCGGCGCGCCTGTCGCCGCCGCCGCCGCTGCTGCTGCTTCGGCTGCTGCACACGGAGCGCGTCTCGGGCTGGTCGCCGGCGCCCGCTTCGGGGACAGCCGCGTCCGGACGGCGCCTGGGGCCCTCGCCGGAGTCTCCGGCGGCCAACGCCTCCTGGCCAGCGGGCGGCAGGGGCGGCAGCCGCTCGTCAGGCCCCGCGGCGCGCTCGGCCGGGAGCCCGGGAGGTGCAGGCGGCGGCTGCTCGTCCCCGCTGTCCGCCCCGCGACTCCGGCCGCCGCCGCGACCCGGGTCCGAGCTCATGCTGGTGCCGCCGCCCTCCCGGCGGGCCGGACACCGACTGCGGCCGCGAGCCCAGGGGCGGGCGGGGGACGGGGAGGGGACACGGGCCCCGGGGCCGGGGCCGGGGCGGGACGCGCGGGGCCGGACGGAGCAGGCAGCTGCTCCCGGAGCCCGGCGACCGGGCTCTGACGGAGGCGGCGCCCGATCTGCCGCGCGTGAGAGGCGCGGGCGGGGGCGGGGCGCGGAGGACGCCGGAATCGGGGAGCCCTCCCCGCCGCACCGACCCCGCCCCGGGCGGCTCACGTCGGTTCCGGGGCGGGTTGCCCCTCTCGGATCGGCGCGGTGAGGCGCGGCGGCTCCCGGCAGCAGGCGGGGGCGGGGTCGCAGCCTCCCGTCCAGAGCCGTTACCGGGCGGGCAGCGCCACTGGGCGCCCCCAGCCGAGCGCCGCGTGGGCGTGGGGCGCGCGCCGGAGCCCGCTGGGCGGGGCGCGGGGGCCGCGCGGGCCGGTGCGGTAACAGTCGCTGGCGCGCGATCGGCCCTGGGCTCCCGGGCCAGCCCCTCAAGGGCAACCTCGCTGATCCCCGAGCGCCTTCCCACGGAAGTCTCTGGAACGTTTGTCCCCCCACAGTCCGCCGCACCCCTGCGTCCTCCTTGCGCGCTCGCCTCGGTAGTGTGTTCTGGGCTATTTGTAAGTATCTCGTGCCTCGGAGCTCAGAAGGTCATTTCGTGGAATGATTCCTAAGAATGGCTGAGCTCACTTTCATCTTTGCAGTAATGACACCGCCCCTTACCCAGGAGAAAGGGGCTGCAGCCTCGGACCTAAGTTTTACTCACCCTGAGCCCAATTTTTCTGTAACTCCATCCAGCAAAACATCTTGAGACGCCTCTTTGGCCCAGGTCCTTTCTGAAATAAACTTCGCTTGCACTGAACTGGATGGAAATCGGGCACCTGCAGTAGATCCCAGATTCGTGCCGTGTGGAATCATAAGCCATCGGAGTTGTACACTGCAATGTGCCTAAGCAAATCGATGGTGATTTCCACTGATGTAACACTTTAAATGTCTCCTACACACCTACTGGCTCTCAGAGCGGTCATTCTGGCTGCATTTCACACCTGAAAACCCAGGATCTGATAGGCAAAGTAACTTGCTCAAGGTCACCAGTCTATTAACAAAGAACTTTTGAGCTCCCTGACTCCAGACTCACCGCTCAAGCATCGATGATTGTTTTAAAAATTCCAATCTCTTCTTCTGCCTTCTAAAATCGCATTGTTATACATGGGTTGTCTGGTGGCAGACTCCCATTAACAGACGTTTTGAAATGGTTGAGATAAACCACCAGCTTAGGTTAATTTTTCAAGTACACATTTTAGTAGTGGGAAATATATTTGATTTTTTTAAATGCAATCTTTTGATAGAAATTCTCTTGGTCAGAAAGTAGAAAACAAAGATAGCAAAAAAAGAATTCCAAAATGCTTTGTCACAAATGGTCTTCAATGAAAGAGTTTCCAGGAATGTCCTCTCACACATGGTTCCTTCAGACTTCAGCTTATTTTTGGTAGCAGAGTGACAGGCAGCAAGCACATTTTTAAAATAATAGTCCCACAAGTCCCAGGAACTCATCACATTGAAACAATGTGGCTGCAAGGTAGGCTTTTATTTTGGGTCCTCACCTGTCAAAATAACATTGCACAAATTTGCATATCACCAATCCTAAAGTCATCATAAGCCTTAAATCCTCCAAGTAATTCAATTTATGGTAATTATTACAACTTGCAATAAAATACATTATTATCTAAAGTACAAAATAAAAGCTATGGATCCTTATAAACTTTGTAGAATAATTCAAACAGCAAACCAGACAAAGTAGGAAAAGACCACAAGGCTGGGCCTCTCAGTTGATTGTTTAGGGAAAATAATTAACTCCCATAAGATAAAATTAAGTTCCCTTGATATGGTGGACGACCACATAAAAACATTATTTCTCAGTTTCAATGACCTCTTCTTTTAATAGAGAAACTTACTCTTGACCTTCAGTTCACCCAGAAAGTGTTCAATGGACCAGGAAAAACACCTTTGTAACTCTAACTACTCCTCTGTTGTAAAAATGTGGAATAATGGGGAAGACAGAAAAGATGAGTCACGCTCAGCTGCTGGCACCCAGGTGGAAGAGTTGATGGAGACAGGGAGAGCAGGTGCAGAAGGACAGAGAAAGGGCAGCAGGTGCACAGCACTGACAGACACTGGGAGCTGATGCGCATCTGCCAACTGAAAAATGAATGAGGGGAAATGACGTTTTATTAAATTTGAGCAAATGCTAAAAGGTACCTCACTCCTGTCTTAACCTATATAAAGAAAAAAGAGATGATATAATAAGTACTTGAAAAATCTCCGTTTTTATGTCCCCACACACACACACACACACACACACACAGACGTACCCTTCACCAGATAGGTAGTTTCATACTAATGGCGCAGACCCTTCAGATACCATGAGTGTCTTGAGCTGAATCTAAGAATGGGGGAGAATGAGCGGGGCCCAAGGAAGTACATTCTGAAAAGTTCTTTAGTGATGTTAGCAGATATCAGTAAGACATTCTCCTCGACCTTCCCTAGTAAGAGCGTTGTAGAGGTGGCCCCCACAGTCACCTCAGAGATGTTAGACAGGAAACAATCCAAGGTACAGCAGCTCAGTGTTTTCACAATTACCCTAAAATGGGACTAGGTGTGATGACCTTGATATCCCCTCCAAACAATGGAAGTTACTAGTGTGAAGAGTGGAGTAGAATTGCTTTCAATTCTTTTTTCTCTTAGAGCTGTTCCAAAATTGCTCAGTTTGTGATACACTAATTTGTCTTTGTGACCACTAACCACAGAACACAGGTTTCTCAGTTGCCTGCTGATATCCGGGAGAAAAGACTCTAAGAGCTCTAGGTGTGTGGTAGAGCAACAAGATTATGCCTCGTGTTAGAGAGAGTGTGATTTTTAAAGAGGATAGAGAAGTGTCATCTGTTATTGCTGATACTCAAGGCAGAGTGTTACTTTATTAGGCACCAGAACTGAAGCAATGACAGCACTGCGCCAACACAATATCCTCTGCAAATGAGTGCACAATTTCTATATCTTCTCCTATATCCCTCTATTTAACTCCAAACTCATGTATTGAGTTGTATCCTTCACACCTATTAATCAGGTCCAGTAGCAAACAGTACCCCAAGACCTTTTCCCAGTTTTCATGATGTCAGTAAAGCAGTTGTTCATCTAGTTGCTCAAGCCAAAATCTTTGAAACTATCTTTGAGTTTTCTTTTTTTATATCATACATTCAGTGTATTTAAAAAGTTCTTTCCAATGTACTTTCAAAATACACACTGAATTTGACTGTTACTTTTCAGCTCCTCCTTCACCATCGGTTCACACCATCATCATGGTGTGCCAGGACTATCAAAAGGCTCTGAACTGTTCCCCTGCTTTCCATCCTGGGACCCATCCTCTAAAGTGACCAGGATGGTCTGATTCAAGTGAAAGTCCAATTACATCAGCCCCCTGCTCAGTATCCACAATAGCTTCCTGTCGCACTTAATGTGATATAAAAATTTTAGCATGCCCTGCAAGTTCTCCACCTAGTTCCTGGCTCCTGCTTAGCAGATGTCTCCTTCCCCTATCCACCACTCAAACCTCTCCCTTCTTTTTCCCCCTGGTGCTGCTGAGCTGCATCCCAGCCCAATTCTTTTTTTTTTTTTTTGTAACAGGAATTGAACTCAGGACCTTGCACTTGCCAGGAATGGCACCACTAAGCTAAATCCCTGGCCCCTCTCCCTTCATTCTTTTTTTTTCCCTTAGATTCTTTTATTGGTACATTTTAGTTATACAATACATTTACATTTATCATCGGGTACTTGTACCCTTACATGATGTATCTTGGTTCTTATTTTTTTCCCCATTCCCTGTCCTCCCTTCGCCCCCTCCACCCATCCTTATTTACAAAGACTTTGTTTCCATTTTTTCCTTTTCTCATAATTTTTCCTTTCCCCTACCCCTTTGGACCTTTTCTTCCTATTTCCCATTATCAATTATTCATTTTAATCCTTATTTACCGTCTCAGTTTCTCCCACCAGAGAAACTATTCGGTATTAACACATGTGTGTCCTATTTATTTCACTTAAGAGCATGGCCTCAATATGCATCCATTTAGCTATAAATGTCTCTATCCCTTCATTGTTAACCATACCAACTTCCTTGCTACACCCCCTTATCCCCCTTGATTATTCCAGTTCTTATGGCTCCCTCTTTTCACCCAGAGGTACCTCATCAAAAAGGCTTCCTATTTGAAGGTCTTCTGTCTAACACAGAATCCCCCACTCCCATTTTAAATCTAACTGTAGTCCCGTTTCACACTATTTCCTTTCATGACTCACCATTGTATATAATTTTAAAAACACAAAGAAAGTTTATATTTTTGAAAATCCTTATGGTAAAAGATACATTGTCATCCGTGCCCCTCAGAATACTCCGCCTTGCTTTGAACGCACGCATCCCATCATTCTTTGCACTTTCTGAAACAGTTGTGGAAGTCCTCTTTAGGGTCTTTATTTTTACTGTCATGGCTGCCTCCCTGTCCTAAACCAATTTAAAATGTTTACCTTTCATAGTCATTTTGACTTTGGGGAAGAGCCAGAAGTTGCATGGTGCCAGATCCAGTGAATAAAGAGGATGAGGACACTCTGTAATGTTTTTACTTGACAAAAATGGTCATAAATGTTTGATCAGTGAGGAGTGATCAAAACATACCACGAATGATTTTTTAAAATGTATCACAGTAAAACATACATTGCCATTAATACCCAGAATATTTCCTCTAGCTTTGACCATTGCTTATCCCATTGTTTCTGCTTCTTGGTAGTGGGCCTCTTATTGTCATAAGACTTGTTTTCAATTTCAATTAAATATTCACCATATTGTTGATCACTCTGTGTGTGTGTGTGTGTGTGTGTGTGAGTGTGTGTCCATATTGTGTGTATTT